ATGTGCCCACCCCCTGGGCTCTTTACTGCCGGAGCTCCGCTCTATATATATATGTATATATATATATGTATTTGGTTAGAGCAGGGCATCTTCTGCATTCATGCATTCTACATTAAGCAATGATGTTCTGTCTTGTCTCGACCACAAGCAAGGGCCAGCGGGGTGAGATGAATTACTTGAGGAATGGATTGGATAGGATCAACAAACAGCTGCACGAAGGCACACGGGATCAGATAGACAAGGGATGCCAAACCTCAGGCAGTTCCCAAGTGGACGTCAAACTGAAGAAGATCTTCTCCTCATGGACAATGAGATCTCGTTCAAAAGCTTGGTCCAGGTGGTCAGCCATGTTGATCTGAAGCCGTAGAACACAGTGGCACCTTTAAGACCAACAAAGTCTCGATATTACCAAGGGGATCTTTCTAGGAGACACGGACCACTAGTCATCACTTCGATAGGAAGCTTGTGTCCATGATGTGAAGCTGGAACAAAAACTTTGATACAATTTAGAAGATAATCTTATTTTATTTTTATTTATTTGTGTTATTTACCGCCCACCTTTCTCACAGGGACTCAAGGTGGGATTACGCAAAGTACAATTTGTACAATTGACAAAATTGGGGCACTCAGCAGTACAATTGACAAAATTGGGGCACTCTGTAGCCAATGCATTAGGATTTTAGAAGCCTGGAACCACCAGAAAGAACTGAAGCATAGTGCGCACATGCACACAGACCTTTATTGGCATTACAGCACAAATCTAAATAAAATACAGTGGAATCTGTGGTCAGAAAGAACATCACCTCCTCGAGGCCTGGTAGACAAATTTTGCTACAGATTCAATGATTTCGCTCTTATTTGAGGCTAAAAGTATAAAGGTCTTACGATCCTCGGATCGACCCTCCAAAGGCTTTAAAAATACAGCACGGAGATCATCATAAAATTTACAGTGCAAAATAACATGATTGCTATCTTCAGTCTCACGCATCCCACATGGACACAACCTATCTGTACGTGGAGTTTTCTTAAATCTCCCATACAACACCATAGATGGGAGAACATTAGAACGGGCTAACATAAATGCCCTATGAAGTTGAGGATCACACAGACAAGATCGGTATACAGGAAGGAAGGGGCCAGATGAAAGCTCCCAACGCACTGGGGAAATTGAGGCATAGTATAAGTCTTCCCATGAGGCATTAAATGGTACAGAGATTACATAAGATCCTACTACAATAAGCTGTATGTAGCAGTATAGACCACAGTCCCAATCATTTATCCAGGTAAGTTTGTGAACCATTTTGTACAGGGCAACCCTACGACCCATGCAGAAAAGCCCTGTTGAATAGTTTAGGTTTGCATCGCTTGCAGAAGGCTGGGAGAATGGGGAGGCATGGAAAGAACAATTCGCCAGCAGATTTTTCTCCCAGAAGTTAATTCGGTTTAGAAGACTGAGATGACAGAATGGACTCCACCACTTCAGACAGCAGGTGAGAAATGCCACTTCTCAATGGATCCCTGCATTTACATCCCACCTTTCTACCCCCACAAGGGCCTCCGAGGTGGCTAACAAAATAAAACGTACATACTAAAGCCACATTTTAGAAGCATCTAATAAAAACACTTCCTACAAAAGACACACACATCACTAAAACAAAAACGGCTAAAATACATACAAAGGTATTAAATACTGGGTTCAAGACGCACTGCGGTGAGCAGCTCTACTTTAAGTGATTTCAGGAACAAGACTGAAACACCAGGGCAACAGCCCTGTTTAAATAACATGCAAAAACCACACCCAAACACACCCAACTCCCAACAATAGGCTATTTACATAACATTAGTTTCTCATTGGTCACTTCCATAGTCCTGGTGGGCTATTGTTCTAGAGCTCCAAGCTCAGCCAGTCTCTGGTAGATAGTCCTGAATGTTCCAGACCTAATAAATAACAAAAGGCATAAAAACTGCTGGAGTGAGGTACTCAGCATACCTGGACATTGGGGGTCACTACATCACTCTGTGTATAGGTGTTATCTCCTTGAATGGGATCTCTCTTTGTCTTAACCTGGGAGCTGCCCTCTGTTCCCTTCTTTCTCTGTGTGTCCTTTGTTCTTCTCATTCTTCACATGGCTTTTCTGGGCCCATAACCCTATCAGGGTATTTGGTTAATATGGCATATGTGGCAACCATATATCCCAGTTAAAACAACCATTAACGTTTTGGCAGGAAGGAGAGATCACTGAGGGAATGTGAAGTGAAAAAAACCCAACCAAAAAAGTATAGCAAATCAAAACAGTAAATATAGTACCTTTCTCCCTTCTAATAGCAAACAGTTCCGTATGCAGGGAAAATGAAAAAATGGTGTGCCCCATCTGCCAATCCATTTGATACACCATACAAGGAGATCAAATCAGTCAGTCCTAAAAGATATCAACCCTGACTGTTCTCTGGAAGGCCAGATGCTGAAGCTCAAATACTTTGGCCACCAAATAAGAAGGAAGCCCTCACTGGAGAAGATCCTGATGCTGGGAAAGACTGAAGGTCAAAGAAGAAGGAGACGGCAAAGGATGAAATGACTGGACAGTGTTATCGATGAAAAGAACATGAAATTGAGCAAACTCTGGAGGACAGGAGGGCCTGGCGTACTGTGGTCCATGGGGTCATGAAGAGTCGGACTCGACTGTGCGACTGAACAACAACCCCCCTCTTAATCTGCTACATGTGTAGACCCAGGTGATAATGGTTTCAAGGGGTATCAAAACCCCACTGAGCTCTCATGGGATGGTGTGAGCAGTGAAATCCCAGGCAGGCCCATGTTTTCTCAACAAGGAGAGGCCCATCCTTTCATTCAAAGTCTTGCCCTCCTGAATCACTCCTGGTGGGTCCTTAGATGATTTCTGGAAAATGGGGCCAGGTTGCCAAAAGGGCTAGGCTGTCAGGAGTATTGGGGTGACTAGACAGGTGAACCAAGTTTTGGGCTCCATCTCTGCTCATATCATGCTCCCAAAGCTACTCTTCTCTTGACTGGGTTGGTGGTTTAGTTGGGCTACAAAGGTCCTCGATGGTCTTCTCGTCCTGGTGTCCAGCAGAGGCTGTATTAAAGTTCAGACACAGTGGTCCCCCCTCCCTCGGTATCTCTGCCCGGCATGCTGAGCACAGCTCTTGATGCTTCATTCCGGGTGTGTGTGGGGAGAATAGCCATGTGCAGGAACAGGCAAAGTAGGGCATTGTCAATGGGTCATCGTCCTAATTCACATAAAAGAGCAACTCTGCATTTGACAAGGGTGAAGCAGAAAGGAACACACTGCTCTGCATTCTTTGACTCTAATTAAAAGTGTCACCAGACACTTTTTGTGCAGACTATCAGACCGAGCGGAGGCGAAATGAAGAATGTGGCTTTGTCTCCTCTGTCTCTGGAAGCTGTAGCCATAATTTAATCACAGTGCTAATTAAGAGGTCATCTGTACATCAACTCTACACCAGCTTTCCCCCAAGCTCGTAGGGGTCAGGATTTTTACATTAAGTCATTTGCGGTCAGTACAGCCCAACAGATCCTGCTTTTATAAATCAGAACCAATCGATGCAGAAGACATCAATGTGTTTACCGGAGGCAAGCATGGGGCAATTTAAATGGCCTTCCACCCATGTAAATAGAATGACCTATAGAGGCAGGTTCACACATGAAAGTATTAAAACTAGTACTCTATATTTGGCACTGACCTGGATGGCCCAGGCTAGCTCGATCTCATCAGATCTTGGAAGCTAAGCAGGGTCGGCCCTGGTTAGCACTTGGATGGGAGACCACCAAGGAAGTCCAGGGTTGCTACCCAGAGGCAGGCATTGGCTAACCACCTTTGGACACCCTGAAAACCCTGCATGCTTGCTATAAGTCTCCATAAACATATGGAGCAGAGGTCCATCGGTGGCTATTAGTCACAAGGTATAGATAGGAACTCCGGGGCAAGTGATGCTCTGTCTTCTTGGTGCTTGGGGGAGGCGGGGCAACAGTGGGAGGGCTTCTAATGTCCTGGCCCCACTGCTGGACCTCCTGATGGCACCTGGCATTTTTGGCCACTGTGTGACAGTGTGTTGGCCTGATCTAACATTGGCTTATCTTATGTTCTTATATGGAGCAGAGGTCCATCAGTGGCTATTAGCCACAAGGTATGGATTGGGACTCTGGAGCAGGTGATGCTCTGTATTTTTGGTGCTGGGGGGGGTCAATAGTGCGAGGGCTCTTAGTGTCCTGACCCAACTGGTGGACCTCCTGATGGCCCCTGGTATTTTTGGCCACTGTGTGACACAGAGTGTTGGACTGGATGGTCCATTGGCCTGATCCAACATTGGCTTATCTTATGTTCTTATATGGAGCAGAGGTCCATCAGTGGCTATTAGCCACAAGGTATGGATTGGGACTCTGGAGCAGGTGATGCTCTGTATTTTTGGTGCTGGGGGGGTCAATAGTGGGAGGGCTCTTAGTGTCCTGACCCCACTGGTGGACCTCCTGATGGCCCCTGGTATTTTTGGCCACTGTGTGACACAGAGTGTTGGACTGGATGGTCCATTGGCCTGATCCAACATTGGCTTCTCTTATGTTCTTATGTCTTCTGTGACTGGACAGCACTTTCAATCACCACCAAGATCACTGGATGCTACAGTTGTTGAGGGACAGAGGTATAAGCTGGCCCTTGGTGGCTATGGAAAATGGACCGTCAAACCCCTTCGCGTTCTCATCTCCTGACTTCATACCTTCATTGTCAGCAGGGGTCGTTCTGGCAGCAAAACAACACTGTACGCGCTGAGCCCGTCTCATTGAGTGAAAATCATCTCAAGAGCACGCTAAGACTGACGGCTCAGCCCTGTGGATTCAAGCAGGCCGGCGCAGGACGCGATTTGATTATTCACACACCCATTTCCATCTGGCCCTGTCCGATCCCTTCATGTACCTAGATAACGCTGACACCTTCCTGTCAGCCCGCATTCTCTTCCTTGTCTTGCAGGCTTCTTGGGTAAGCTCGGGAGATCAAGGAAGAAACAGCGCAAGCTGGTGAAGTGACCTGCAGCTTAGAGGCAAAGAAATTAAGCCGTGAAAAGATAAACATTATTTCAAGTCGGATTTGAGGGATTAGGGCTTGTAATAAAGAGTATTAGGCCCGTTCAGGGGCTTTCTGCAAGGCGGCCATCTTGGTTTCTCCTCCTCTTCCCTTTTCAGGAGAGATTCCAGGTACTTCCCTACGTCCATTCCCACTGTTCCCTTGTTTCCCATACACTCTTCCATAACGACAAGGAAGTGTTCCAGTCTCATGTCAAGGGAGCTAAATTTCTCAGGATGTGGCCCTGAACTTAGGGTTGCCAAGTGATCTTCGCCGGGAGTGGGGGGCTCCCGGCCGGCGTCTGGTGAGCGCGCGCCGTGCGCACATCACTCGGAAGTGACGGGAGGATTCCGGGCACGCTGGGGGTGGGGCCACAGCCATACAAGGGAAAACCATAGAGTTTTCTCTTGTATGGCCGTGGCCCCGCCCCCAGCGTGCCCGACGTCCTCCCGTCACTTCCGGGTGACGCGCACGTTGGGGAAAAGTTCACCCCCGGGGCTCGATCCAGCAGTGCCAGGAAATGGGCCTCTGGGGTGGGGGTTTCCCCGCCCCCCGGGGGGACTTGGGATCCCTACCTGAACTATTCACACAGGCCCAAGTTAGTACATGTCTACAGTGGTGCGTTTGAATGAGGGGAAGATTTCACATCTCTCAGCTTTAGAAGAGAAGAAGAAGAAGAGATTGGATTTATACCCCGCCCTTCACTCAGAGTCTCAGAGCGGCTTACAAACTCCTTTCCCTTCCCCTCCCCACAACCGACATGCTGTGAGGTAGGTAGGGCTGAGAGAGCTCTGACAGAAACTGCTCTTTCAAGGACAGCTTTGACAGAACTATGGCTTGCCCAAGGTCATCCAGCAGCTGCGAGTGGAGGAGTGGGGAATCAAACCCGGTTCTCCCAGATTAGAGTCTGTACACTTAACCACTACGCCAAACTTTACTGTTTTGACCACCTCCCAAAATCTGGTCTTGATTGCACTTCTCCTTTGTATAAATTGGCCGACTGATTCTTTATTTTCTGTTCCCTTGAAGTGTTTCCCCACTAAAATTAAAATATTCTTGGACCAGAACAGGGAACATTGTCCACATTCCTACTTTTAGATGAATCTGAGAGGAACTTGCCTGGTAGATAGTGTTGGATTAGGACTGGGGATGTCTGGATCCAGATAAACTGGAGTGAAGCAGAATCAAAGCATTCGGTTTGATGAAACGAACACACACATGCACATTTTTTTTTAAATCCCAGTGTGCTATTTGTAGAGATTCATCTTGACCAATATCTTTGTCAAAATGATTCATTCCAATTGCATTATCAGTTTCACATGTCATATCTTTGTATCTTTGCACTTTTTAAAATATGATCTTTAGGGAACTGAAACAAGAGCTCTCCAACATGCTGATGGCACTGGACACGTGACCCAAACTCTCCAATCTGAAGAAGAGAGCTTTAACACTCAAAAGCTTATACTGTGAAACACTTGTTGGTCTCTCTGGTACTAACGGATGCAAACCTAACTGTTCTCCAGTCTGTGTAAGGCCATTTATGCTTTGGAGGATATTCTCTTTGCCGGAATATCACTGGTTGTCCCTGGGACTCAAGTATCATTAAAACAATAACCGCAACAACACAACCAGGGGTCATTTCGTAGAAAAAGAGGTGCAGGAGCTTATTAGCATAACTCATTTGCATATGCCACACACCCTGACATCACCAGAAGTGTGTCAGAAGGCAACACCCACCACTCAGGCTCCACTGGACTGTTTTGGATTGCTAGTTATTGGGGGGGGGGGAACGTGCAGATCTGCCCTCATAGAGGAGGGAGAGCTTGTACCTGAATAAAACTTAAAGGTGCCAATGGACTGTTTTGGATCGGGGAGCCGGGGGGAGGGGGAGCTCTGCAACTTACCTGGCTGCTTCTTGCTCTGACTGAGAGCTGCTGGGAGCAGGGGGCGGGGCTTGTTGCATGTGCCCACCCCCTGGGCTCCTTACTGCCGGAGCTCCGCTCCTGTGCGCTCCTGCAGGAAATGACCCCTGAACACAACTTTTCAGCCAGTCAGTGAGTGAATGACAAAATACGATGACAACTTTTGAATCTAACTGCCAAGATTCCCAATAAGACAAAATAATGCAGTTGGGCTGGGATTGTAGAACAGGGAGAAAGGAAGAACAGGACACAAGCAAACATATTTGTTTTAAGGGAACAAGATAATCAGCCCGTGTATATAAAGCGCCATCGAGTTGCAGCTGATTTATGGTGACCCCCAACAAGGAACTTTCAAGGTAAGTGAGAGAGAGGCAGAGGTGGTTTGCCATGGCTTTCATCTGCAGCTCTTCCTTGGTGGTCTCCCTTCCAAGCACCGACCCTGCTTGGCTTCCAAGATCGGGCAATACCATGCCGCCATCCCTGCGACAATTGATGTACAAAAAGCCTTATCCAGGCCTGTAGTTACAGTGGGGCATTTCGGGGCCTGGCCCCCCAACTTCCTGCCAAGGCCCCATGACTTCCATCCAGCCCTCAGCCCCCAGCTCTCTGGGGCACCCGGAGGACTCCTGACTCTCTGGGTGTTAGCAAGCTGCCAATTTTCTTTTTATTCTGTATTTCCCATGTATGCGCTTACCTGCTTTAGGATTCATATGTCGACATGTTGATGCGCTTAATTGCTTAGCTGCTGGAACGTGTATAGCTCTCAAGGCCACAGGTGGTTCGCTGCTAGATAGTTGCTGGGGTGATCTCACGGAGAGCCGTGCGAAGGAGATATGTTTTGCTAACTAGAAGCGTTTGCTCCCAGGCCCGATGGCGCGCAGGGGAAGTCCCGCAATTGGGCCTCAGCTGATTGAATGTACTATAACCTGTCATGCTCATTGCTTTTCCCTCATTCCTAACAGTGATCCTGTACATCACCACCACCACCCCTTCCCCAAGAGCGGCTTGCTTCCATAGGCAGAGTGCGAACACTGCAAAAGTGAGGGGTTTTAAAATTTTATTTTAATTTTTGTTTAAAAAATTGTGACGTCAGTGCCCCCTGACTTATTTAAAGTCCCCCCGGACTACAAAATCCTGTCTACAGGCCTGGCCTTATCCCTAATAAAAGACATTGTCATGTTGTTACAAATTGTTGTGTGATCCCTGATTGGCTGTAATTACCGGAGGAAGATATTTTTTTAAGGGTGGGGGGAAATCACTGCCAAAGAAGAATGGAGACAGTAGGATTATGAACTTTCAGGGAGAGGAACTTATCCATCTGAAACCGTTAGTTGTGCATCTGTAAGTCATCATTAACTGCATGTATATTATACAAATAAACAACACACAGAGTGGAGTGTAAGTTTTGTATTCGAATCTGTACAGCAGGCATACACAGCGGAAACGGATCTGAAAAATCGACAGCAATAAACAAGCCACCTAAATTGCTGAGAAAAATATAGGCAAATAGAAAAAAAGTAATAAGGGAAGGAAATGCTCTCTTCTTTTCTGGCGAGAAAGGAGGCCAGAGAAAGCGATGGAGGCAAACTGACCCCAGGGATGTCTACTTCATGGATCTGTGATGAACATTAGCTTCCATGGTGTTAGAAGTGGAGGACTTGGCACTGTCTACTGTCTCAGACTTGAGAAGATGGCACCAAAGAGTTTAGATAGATAAACAGGACACACAGAGCATCCTTTCCTTCCTGCTATCTGATAGTTTCCTTTGAAGTAGAATGCTGCTCTTAGGGGCAACTTCCTCTGCTTCCGCTCTCATTCTTCCTTCTTCTCTCTCGCACGCACACAAAGAAGGTGCTTGATCTCCATCTTGCACCATGGAGGCTGGACGTGCGTCCAGCATCCAACACCATCTAGCTAGTTACAGTAGGCAATCTATATCTACCTCTTACCTGCACTCTCATGCATGCATTTCCTTTAATAAAGGTTACTTATTAGTTTTAGAACTGACTGCCGACTCCGTGTAACTTTGTAAGTCTGTTGCCACACCAAGCCCCAAACGTCACTGTGTTTAAGCCTTTGAGCACTCAGCTTTTCCCCCGTGGGTCCCTGGCAGCACCCAGTCCAGAGAATCCATGTTTAAGCCTTTGAGCACTCAGCTTTTTCCCCGTGGTTCCCTGGCAGCACCCAGTCCAGAGAATCCAACACATGGCACCCCATAAAATGTTCAAGTTAAGGCGATAGCCCATCTTTCCTGGATTTGGTATGCTTCCACCCCCAAGATCTGTGTTAGAAAGATTATTCTCAGTGCGACCCTACGCCGTTTGCTTTAGTTCAAGCCCACTGAAATCAGTGTACTTAGACTGGAGTGATTCTGCTTGGATTGTGGCATCAGGAAACGGATGGCGGTGTTGATGGAGCACACTTTAAGTGCAGTCGGTGCGGTTTTTAAGAGCCATCGACGGAATTAAGGCGACCCGTTGGGAGTCCTTTAAGACTTTTATTCATTCCCTCCCCTCCAATTCTCTTTTTATTAAAGGTCAAGCAAGCCTCGCGGAAGATTATGCCGCACTCTCCAGCCTCCCTGCAATCTGTCATACCGGCAAGATATGTATCACAAATCTCCCAACATATAATCTTTCAGAATCATATTCTGAATACTGTTTTGATTAAAAATCGGAGCTAAGACTGACGAGGAACTAATATGAAAAAGGACAAGGAGAATCAAGGCGGGGGGGGGGGAGGTTGGAGGCTTCATATTGAATCATCAACATAAACGAATGGCTTTGTCCAGACTGGTGTTCAGAAATGGGGGGAGGCATTGTGTATTCATTAAGTGTGCTGGTTAATATTCATTGGAAGATCTTTCTTATATCATATGATACAAGGAAGATAATTCCATGTATTGTCCTCCTATCCCTCTTCTCTCCACCAACCTAGAACTTGTTTATTCGGAAAACAATAGTTTAAACAATTTCCCCCTTCAGGACAAAGGGATATATATCTGAGCCGTTTCTGCCAGGTGTATGTCTAGGGAGTGGAAT